CAACACTAGGAATGGGATTCGGGTCGTGTCAGGCCAGGTGGAGGCGGCAGTGTCCGGACCTCTCACCGCCACACCACAAAACACACTGGAGGCCGCCGACCCGACACACCCCGGCGTCACTCAGACACTCTCTCGCTGCCAAACGCACGACCAGCCACGCACCAACACACACCCCCAGACACAGTCACAAACACACACATGTGTGTACACATGAGCGCACCCAGACACAGTCACAAACACACACATGTGTACATATGAGCGCACCCAGACACGTACGTACTTGTATACATACACACATGAATTATACACACTTACACACACGACTCGCATACATGCCCGAATCGCTATGCGTATTGGTGGCTCTAGGTATTGTATGTACTAGCTCTATCTATGAATCCAACACTATGTTTGTAAATCAACTATGTTTGTACTTTTCCTGAATAAAAAAAGTAATTTAATTTAATTTATACATACATGACACCTGCCATAAGAAGGACTTTCCTTGTTGATAAACTGTGACAATTTCCAGTTTGCCCTCGAACACATAATTCATAAATATCAGCCCATCCTCCTGTTTAGGAAGTAGTTATAGTAACGATGAGGACCATCGTACATATATTGACGGAAAAGGCAATTAAATAGTAAAAACCTGTAACACTGAATTTGGACAAACCGGAAAAGTTGTATTTTTGTTACAGAGGAACCTTAACTAACCTTCCTAGGCCTAATACAAGCTCTCTGAGGCCTAATACAGGATATATATATTATATATATATGTTATACTAGGCTTAGGAATATTTAAGTTTTGTTTTTAGATTTATTTTTTTCGGACTTTTTAGATTTATTTTTTTCGGACTATAAAGTGAATAGTACCAAATTCTATCAAGACAATTGCTTAGTACGTCAATATATGTACGATGGTCCACATAGCTACAAAAAGTACTATCTACATAGAGGGTGGGTTGTAAATATATATATATTTATTTTACCCCGACTTGGTTCGGAATGGTGTTGGGATTAAGGTTTATTAGGCTACTACATGTGCTTACTAATCAATCAATAAGTACACTACTCAAAAACATTGTCTAAGACTAAAGTAAACTCGATGTATATACACCATAAAGCAGAGCACATATCCCATATTAATACCTTGCCTTTCCACAGCCAGCCCTCATAAACACAACCCGTCCTCGACTCAAGTCCATTACACCCAGCTGTCGACCCCACAGCCCCACAGACGCATTCATAAATTTGTCAGCCCGTCCTCCAAACAAAGATCCAAAAGTGATTCCATGCACCCGCCAAACCCCCTGTTTATGAATGAATAGCGGTTTACACACGACTCACAACTGCTGACGTTCGAATGTATCCGGAACAAGTGCTTCACTGACGAATTTTGTTCGAATCACAACGCTATAAATGCTTCACCCACGTACTACAAATACAAATAATCGCCAACAGAACCTAAACACCTAACCTAACCTATCCTATACCTATATATACACAATATGCTAATATATTATAATATTAATTTATACTTAAGAAAATTCCCGTTTTGAATGAACAACATGTTAAAATTTATGAATGCGTCTGTGGGGTTGACCGCTGAATGTAATGGACTTGAGTCGCGGACGGGTTGTTCACTGACGAATTTTGTTCGAACCATAACGCTGTAAATGCTTCACCCACATACTACAAATACAAATAATCGCCAACAGAACTTAAACACCTAACTTAACTTATACCTATATATACACAATATCCTAATATATTATAATATTAATTTATATTTGAGAAAAATCCTATTTTGAATGAACAGCATGTAAAAAATTATGAATGCGTCTGTGGGGTCGACCGCTGGATGTAATGGACTTGAGTCGAGGACGAGTTGTGGATGGAATGGACCTGAGTCGAGGACGGGTTGTTGACGGGTACATGGAATCACTTTTAGGTCTTTGTTTGGAGTACAGGCTGGCTAAATAGGCGCTAAATGCGTCGCCCACCTTGCAGACGCACGGAAAATACAAATTGCCAAAACGAATCTAAACACCTAACCTAGGCCAAACTATAAAACTAAAATATATATTTAAATTTATATTAAAAAAATCATTGCACATTATGTTATTAGATCGGAGCTTGGAGGATCATAGCCTGTTGACTGGTTGCCTTTCCAGCTGCTGATAGATTAAAGCAATGATTCTTGACCTATATATTTTTCTATAAATCTACTTAAAATTCTGAATGGAGTTGACTTCTACATCCTTCTCATCTTTTTCATTCCATTTTCATTCTACTCATCAGCTTTAGAAGCATTTTCTCACATCTCTATGGCTCACGCGAGCCTCCGACTTCCAGCCATGCACTCTTATTCTATTGGTATTCACTTATTATATCCTTTTTCCTCCGTTATTGCATGTTTTCTCTTTTATAACGTCGTTAAGTCTAGCTGACTAAATCTGTCTTCACGCCCCATACCACGTAGCTTTTGCCAAGCTCCTAGAAGCAAAGTTCACTAATCACACATGCACTTACTTCTGTTTGCAGGGCGAGCTTCAGCTCCTGGGCCTCTTGTTTCAATCGCCCGTCGCCTATTGCTTCTTATCAAACCTAAGCCTTACTTCTTAAGACTAAACACGCATATCTAGTCGAGTTAGCCTCACATACTTCCCCTTTCAGATTATTTCGCTTTTTCCCGACCCAGCCTATGCCAAACATTTCTTTTATATCCTTTAAGTCTAGTTCTTTCAGGCTTTAATTGTAGCTCAGTCTTCTTTTCTAAAGGACGAGTCTTCAAGCAAACATTTGTACTTTCTCTGGTTTTACCTTGGGTGTTTTCTGGTGGGTATTTCTGCGTTCCACCCTGCGGGGATTCGCTCCCACTTTTTATCTGTATTTAAATTTTCCCCGTACGACACTTTTTCCCAGTACAACTATTTGCTTCCAGGACAACAAATTTGTCTTTATACCAAAAAAATCACAATGCAACAGTTTTTTGTTGTTCGTCATTTTTTTTCTTTATAAGACAGATTCTTCAATATTTATTTTTTGACGAAAAGAATTAAGCACAAAATTGTATTTTAACTATTTTGTAATTAAAACACGAGTCATGTATTTGAAATACAGATGTGATAATTTGATAATAGTGCCTATTTGACAAACATAAATGGTAGTTTAATGCAGGAGGCGCTGATTATGAAGCTATCGGTCTGTATACCCAGGTCACCATTAGATAATGGTTGTTTAGAGGACCAGTGCGGTATATACAATATTTTAAGGAGTTTACCAGCTTTGCTCAGTTTCCTTGGTTTAAAATTGGCACGATTAGCACATTTTTAGAAGCAAGATGAGCTTCCCTGGTTATTTTTAGACCAGACCTGCTTGGAGGGTCAGTCTAGACCATCAGTAAGCGTTAATGAGGTAGGTTGAAGGTAAGGAGCTTCAACTAGTTGATTTTATTGCGATGAATACTCCTCGCCGCATGTCATCTGTCACTGACGAGGCCAAGATGACACTTGTCATCTTTTGTTGACACTCACCGGAGAAGGTAAACACGACGGGCGTCGCGCGCACCAGAGCTGCTGTTCAGTACTGTTTGTTGGAGGGGAGTAGATGCTGCCACCTTCAGTGTCTCTCACTCTCTCACTCTCCTTCTCCCTCATATTTACCCCCTCTCCCCGACCACCACCACCCCCCCCCCCCCTCTCTCTCTCTCTCTCTCTCTCTCTCTCTCTCTCTCTCTCTCTCTCTCTCTCTCTCTCTCTCTCTCTCTCTCTCTCTCTCTCTCTCTCTCTTCCTTCATCCGCCTCCTCACTCCCAGCCAGCAGACGCATCTATCGATCTTTCCTCTTTCCCTCCTCCACCTGCTCTCTCTCTCTTTCCCACTCGTATATACGCCTCCCTTTCCTCTCGCCTGTCAATTCTTTCCATTCTTTTCACCTGTAACTTAACTCCTTCCCTTCCCCCCTCCCCCCTTCCATCTAACATGTCCACCCTTTCCTTCAACCCCATCTTATCCCCCCTTCCCTATCACTCTTCCCCCTTCCATCTCAAGCTCTTTCCCTTACTCATACAACTCAACATATCATTACTAAAAGCAACTCTACAATCATATCCCTCATTCCAAATTAATTATAGGTTCCCGGTTTGGCCAACCGCAGGACAGCAGAAATAAGGATTGTGATAAAATTGTTATCACAATCCTCATAAACGCTTAACATTTCTATAAATCGGTTGGGGGTGTTTCATTACACCTGATGCATCTTTACATCTAGCAGTAAAATAGATGGCCGGGAATTAGGCAACTGTTGTGGGTTGCATCTGGGGAGGGCCTCTCACAATACACAGAGAGTAATGACACCAACGTGACTACATCAATGAGAACATCCGTAGGAGCCGTCTCATTGATGACTTTATCATTGACGCTGTCACGTTGGTGTCATTACTCTCTGTGTATTGCAAGAGGACTGTCAGCAGTGGAGCTGTCTAGGTGACGGCCAGAGTGCCGGCGGGGGGGGACACTCCTGTTCCGCCTTCACTGGAAGCCTCAGGAAACCCTCGTGTGCTCAGTAGAACTCCACGTTACAATCTTTTTCATGTCGTGGCCTGGTTGTCTGGGGCGTGTGGAACACCCACCCCATAGGTTCGAACCCTCAACACGGCTTCTACGGATTTTCTCTGGTCCGAATCTTGTTGCAAACCTCTGTACTTTTTCAATTTTATCTTTATACTTCGCAAGGTGCAGATTTGAGGCAGGTGCTGCACATTCCATTATTGATCTAAAAATGTTGTGTAGATTACCTTAAACTCGTCCTGGTTTGGGTTTGTTAACGTCGGTGTAATGTTTGCCAGCGTCCCATATGCTGCCGCTGTCACCCGTTGGTGACAGCGTTGGTGGGGCCACGAAAGCCTGGTGGATAGCGCGCAGGACTCGTAATTCTGTGGCTCGGGTTCGATTCCCGCACGAGGCAGAAACAAATGGGCAAAGTTTCTTTCACCCTGAATGCCCCTGTTACCTAGCAGTAAATAGGTACTCGGGAGTTAGTCAGCTGTCACGGGCTGCTTCCTGGGGGTGGAGGCCTGGTCGAGGACCGGGCCGCGGGGACACTAAACAGCCCTGAAATCATCTCAAGATAACCTCAAGATAACCCGGCCTG